GAATGAAGTTTATTACTCTGAGTGAATTTGACACTTATCTGTTCAGAACAACATTATACATCATTTAGATAGATGAAAACCTCGACTTCTATTGGTTATAGGTAATATATAATTAAACATAAAAGAGAACTATTACCAAAGCCTGAATAAGAAGATGTGACAGGTGGGTGTGTCAAGGTGTGTGTGATTTTCTATTTACAGCTCTGTAACCAAACAAAATTGAAGGCTATAAGAATTATGGTTTGTTTGAGCAGTGACAATTCTATTTAGAGTAATTTACATTTAATTTTATACTTTTTCAAGGGGTGGTGGATAAAATAGAGAAGACAGGATGACTAGAGAAAAAATGTCACAAGTGTCACACTAGGGAAAATTCAGGATTTCTTTTAATATTGCCTTGTAGAATTAGGAACTTAAAACTTATATACTATAAAAATATGGATTATTAGCTAAGATTTTATGCTATACTAATTGGTATAACAAACAAAAAGTTGTTTAATAAAATTCTGAATGTAAGACACTAAACCTTTCTGTCATGCTTAGTAAAGGATAACCAGGGCGAGAGGGTTAATGATCTTAATGAATTTTTAACGGCTTTTATCTCATAGTTAGAAAAACCAGAAATATTATGATAATTATAGAGCATTGTCTGCTTTGTCTATTTGTTATTCTGTGTTCTTGATGCATTATTTAATGAAATAAAAAATTACTCAGTGCAGTAGTACCATTAGTATAACAAAGTAGGGTTAAGTTTAATCGACAATTGACAGCAAAAAAACATCCAGATCTGAAGTACTATATTTTTTGTTTTTCCATGTGTATTCTTTAATTATTATTATTAAAGTAACTAAACTGTAAAAACTAGAAACTTTTAGGTTACGTTAGGTAAAACAAAGATAAAGTTTTCACAAGGCATACTTGAGAGTAGTGTGACTTACATAATTCCATAGGGTAATGCGAGCTACACGCTTGCCAAATGATTTACAACTTGTATGGCAGGATTATTAGTTAGAAGCAATTCAAAGAGTAATAAAACAATAAAATTAAGTAGAAACAGATGCATACTGTTACAAGTTTTAAACTATTTAGGATAAGTAATTATGGTTTCTTGTTACAACTTGCAGTCATTTCAGAAAGAAAAAAAAGGTAATTTAGAAATATTTCCTAACTTTTATGGTGTTAACAAAGTCAGTCAAATTGACTGATCATGTATAGAGTTATAGTACAGAAAATAACAAATAACATATGAAGTTTTACTGAAAAATAATGTTTGAAATTTTTTAGGAGGTTTTAGAGATTACACAAATAAAATATGACAATTTTCAGAGGAAGAAAAGTATTTTAATATTAACATGAAAATCACTTTGTACTCGGAGCAATAAATACTAACTCCATATATTCATGGATAAATTTTTGTGAAAATACTTCATTAAAAATTCTGATTCTTTTTCAAGAAAAGAATCATAAAACTCACTGAAAGCTTGCAAAATTTGGTGGAGATACATAAAATTGATAGACTGTTAACTATAAAGGTCAATTTAGTGTCATGAACTTGGCTGATTCAACTGAGCCCATATGTAGAGTGTTAAGTATAACCTCCATTGCCACTCATTAGGCAGTGTCAGTAGAAAAGAAAATATTCTTAGGTATCGTATCCCTGACACTCAAGCAGTATCTATAGAAAAGAAAACATACTTATGTTCAGTGGATTGTTATAATTAAAAATATACTTTCCTATATATTTAAATTCTACAAGTGGTATCAAGGCAATGCTGACTATATTGTTTATGTGAAGAATGACTATTTTTTTAAACATAACTTACATTTAAAACTACTCTCTTAACAAAGATAACCCAAGGAAAAATTATTTCATCAATATTAAGTAGTAGCTTCTAAAAATGTTATCCAATCATAATTAATATATACAGGAAGACAGAAGCATATAAAATGGTTGTAACCAAACAGACTTCAATAAAAAAAAAACCTGTGTGCAAATATTTTGTTATTTTTGCAGAATTTGAAGTTCATACTGGAGAGATTTAGATATTTTGGTAATAGAGTTAGAAACAAATTACCATTATCATCCTGATAATTATATATAAAAAAAAATATTTTGCCATTATGGCTTCATCATGGTTAATAATACATGAACAGTTTGATGAAGTTGCAATAGCAAAATGTTAGGTGAAGTAAGTTTTTTATTATTATTATTACCTGAAAAAATAAGGTCATATATTTTTTAACTGAATAAAAATATTATTTTTACTTCTTTATTACAGCAGTCAACCCAAATTATTGGATAGACAAATTAATAAAGAAACACTTGTTTTTCTTACATCACTTTTTTCTGCTTGTACAAATTAGACAAAAATTAATCTCATAAAATGATTATTTTTTAAAATCTTGGTTAGTCCAATAGTGTTGAAATAAACTACACATTTATGAATAAAATAAAACTGTTTCAGGAATTTAAAGAAAATATTAAGAAGTATAGCTTTAAATTTATATGTTCCAAAGAACTCCACTAAACTTTAATACTTTTCTTCACTTACTTTTGACTTACTTATGAGAAAGACATTAATAACACAAGAAACTTTAATGTAAGAACTTTCCCTTCTTCATGGTTTATATGGCTGTGATCATTCTGATCAGAAATAAATAAGTAGCTCTTTGAAGCACAGCAAGTTCTTGGTGAGGACAGGGTTAGAATTCAAGTTTTACACACAGTAAAAATTAGGAAATACTTTTTTAGTTCAAATAACATGTTTTTCAAAATAAACATATTATATTTTACTTTAATAAATGACTGACCAAAGTCAATGCCATGAAATAATTCAGAAAAAAAAAAAAAGATGAATATTCTCATTTCAGTAACTCCAATATTGTCATTTGTGAAAACATATTAACTATACACATAAGAGGTGGATGAATAGGCACTGCACAAGTTATTATTTTATGAAGAAAGTAACATCCAAAGAGACTATAAAAATATTTGTAAAGAAAATTTGTTTTTGTTAAACAATTATATGCTTACTTAAATAAAATATGTAACAGTCAAAAAATAAAAATTTGACTTAA